AGGGATACCCAGCCATTCTTCTCAATTACTATGTATCATTTGAAGTAAGTATACCTTTATTGAGGTCAAGTTCTTCATCCTCCTCCTCCTTCTTTTGTTTCTCCTCTGTACCATCTGTCTTTTCAGTTGACACCCATTGTATTTCTCCACTTGTTTCTTGCCATTCTCCACTCTTATCATGCTGAGTAGTGGGAGCATCTTTGATCAATTCATCTGTTTTACTTTCTGCCAACTGGGCTGCTCGCTCCCGCTCAAGGAATAGCTAATGAAAATTAGTTTATAAATTTTATTAAAAATAGAAGTTTTTGATTATTAAAAAGTTAAGACTAATCAACATAAAAGTGTAAGTAATCAAACATAAGGCTCTAACCCCAAGAGACATATCGACTGGTGAAATGTTATCCAAAGAAGCCCTTGGTGTGCATACTATTGAGGTTAAAACAAATATTCTGCTAGGATACAATCAAATAAATTATAAGTATATTTACTAACAATGTAGGTTATTATATTTTTAAGAATTAGAGTCTTAATCCCAACTCTCCCTTTTGTTTCCAAGGGGTGTGGAACATTGATCAATTCCTTTGTTGGAGACATCAGCGGCCATAACATGATGGTAATTTTTCTTAATTGAGATTAAAATTGACAGAAAATTCAAGTCCAAAATACAAACTAAATTTTAAACAAAAGAAAAAGCCCAAGCAGACTGTAAGAAAAGGCACCTAATAAAATGAGACTACTTAAGGAAAAGTAACGTGACTTACTTGGAGGAAATTTCAAGTGGTTAACTATCAGTAAAAAGCAATGGGTTATGAGAAAAATACAAAACAATCTCAACAAATGTTATTAAAAGAGAAAACTCAAAGTCTGAAAGTGAAGTCGTGAAATTTTGTTGCCTCTTGCTTTATTTTCCGTGCCTTGCTACAATGGTCTGAGATGTCACTGAGTCCGTTTCAGTTCCTACTGACCCTACAACAAAGACACTGCTGTCAACGTGACCAGCTGTCTTCCTGAGGGTCTCTCGTCCTCTCCTTTGCTGAGTTTCTACTTTACCAAGCATGTTGTCTTTCTCCAAGGACGGTTCCTCGTAATAACATGCCCAAAGTAGGTAAGACAAAATCTGACCAGGGAATATCAATACTCCTTGCCAATGCCAAAATTAAAATCCAACAATTCTTCTCTGGTCTTCCTTATTCACTGTCTAGCTTTCACATGCACACGAGATACTAAAAATGCCATGGCACGGTCCAGGTGTACCACATTCCTCAAAGTAACATCTTTGTTCAGTAACACTTTTAAAGAAATCTGGTTCAGCACATGTGCCCAATGCAATGTGTCATTTATTGGCTGCTGCCGTCATTAGTGTGGCAATTGCGGATCCAAGTAAAATTAACACACAGGGGGTGTCTTCAGTCAATCTAAAGATAGTCACTGTTGTAATTTAGCAGAACATCCATGTCACTAAAGAAAACTTTTACTTGATAATCAATCTGCCAAGCAGATCTCAAAGTAGAATAGTGTATAAACTTTAAGTATAAATAGGAGGGGGTACCAAAAAACCCCGGAATTGTGCTGGGTGGACCAGAGCTTTCATAGTATGCGTTTTTCCATGCTAGGGGACTATCAAGCAACTCACTCTGAGTTAGTAAACCCAGTGGAGTCACCTGGGAAGATTCTGGTCACAATGAATTTTTTCATAAAAGTAGTTTCATTCGAACCTTGTTTTTTGTGATGGCCGATTTATGAGAACAGTGTGTAGCTGTGAAATTTTGTTTCCTCCTTGGGAAAAACGCTGCAGAAACTGTTGTGATGTTGGGCATAGCTTACAAAGACAGCACTATGGGTAAAATTCAAGTGTACGAGTTGTTTAAAATAAGGTGGCATGTTGACTGATGACAAACCTCGTTCTAGAAGTCCATCAACTTCCTGAACAGATAAACAATTGGAGTTCATTCCACCGGGTCCAACTGTTAAGCTTTCTATTTAGAGCAGCAGTTCTCAACCTGTGGGTCACGGCCCCTCTGAGGGTCAAACGACCATTTCACAGGTGGGTGCCTGATTCATAACAGTAGCAAAATCAGTTATGAAGTAGTGACGAAAATAATTTTCTTGTGTGTGTGTGTGTGGGGGGTGTCGAGTCACCACAACATGAGGAACTGTATTAAAGGGTCACGGCATTAGGAAGGTTGAGAACCACTAATTTAGAGTTTCTGA